TTCCATTCCTTTTTGACTTCTAGTTGCATCTCATTGACTGATTATGCATTCTCTGACTGCAGTATCTGCCTGGAAGTTGCTTCCTTATTTTGTTTGATAATGTACGCAGATGAAAAATTTCTGTCTTATCCTCACGTTTCTTCATATTTATAGTTCTTGTCATCTGGCTTCTAGATGCCTGGTTTCATTGCTAGGATACTTAGCTCACACATTAGCGGAAATTAAGCTGATACAAACAGAGAGAGAATGTGTCTGGTATATGCGGTTCTGGTATTTGGATCCCCTTTCTCCATTTCTTAAAAATGTGCTATTTGCTGAGAAGAACATAACAAAAAGTGAAATGAACAAGTGGTCTCTGTGTTGAACAAGACAGTATATAGTTCTGAGGGCCTATATGAACCTTGTCAAGTGACAATGATGCTTAGATATCCATTTTTAATTCCTTTTCTCCTTTATTTGGGTGGGGATAATCACATTTTGCATATCCCTTCTATGCACCCAGTGAGTCCATCAGTTCAATGACTTGGGATAATTTGCAGGATGAATTCCATGGTGGAACAAGGGAATTTATACTCAATTAATTTTTTTTTTACTGTTGTTGTACGTGGCACTTGGGTTTTCTCAAAAAATTTTTGGTTAGTAAATGCTAGTTTTTGGCTTCACTGCTCATCGAATCTTTCTATATCTTGAATGATGCAGACCACCATTTCAGTCAGCAGCATATCGTTCCTTGCCTATGCTGATATTTCTTTTGAGAGCACATCAGATGTAAGTCTTTACATTCTACTGATGACACTGTGAGAAGGTTATTTACATTAAAATCACAAAACAAAAGATACATGGTCAACTTCGTAGAATTTCCATCACATTCAGAAATATTAAGTTGATATTTAGAATAATCAAAATGATTTCTACTAGATAGTTTATAGATGTGAAATTCTTCTGTTGCTAGTCCCCAATCTCTCTCATTTCTCTCCGATGCCTCTATGTTTTAATCGAAAATAAGGAAAAGACTGTAATAATATGGGTGAAAATCTTGGTAAGGTATATTTAAAATACATTTTCAGATTTTCTTTATCCTCATTTTCCTACCTTTTCTTACCTTTCCTCCATTTCCTAGAAAATGAATTTTCCAAGAGAGTTGTTATCTTGTTGGCAAGATATATCAACAGAACTTTAAAGTGCCGTTTTTTTTATTTTTTTTAACGAATTTTCCCATTCATCTGGCAAAGAATATGATCCGAGAACATCTGTAATTGTTAGGGCACGTCAATATCTCAAACAGACGTCAGTTTATGATATCCTGTCGAAAAGGCTAAAATTATTGCAGGACAAGAATCATTTTGTTTCAATTTCATTGCAATCATATTAATTTATTGTTCTACATTTAATTGTCGTAGGGAGGCAAGGGTATAACAGATCTGAAGTCTTATCTTCAGGTAATGTTGACCACACATTTTCACAATCTACTTGATATTTCACCGTGAACATGATATATATCAACATAACAACTACTTTGTTTCCTACAGAATATTACTGCTGAGAATCTTGTGGAGAAGAAAGAAGGTTTTCTTCAAACATTTTCAACTGAATGTGATTTTGTTAAGCATGTTGAATCTTTGACTTCCATTTCTATTTTAGTGTTTACAGTATGTTGCTGGCCTGCCGCTCATCATTACTGACACCGGGATTTTCTATTTTTAAAATTGGCAATTGTGCAGATCTATTGCCTCAGGTGCAAAAGTATTGCAGAAGAATGCTTCCAATGGTAGCAATGGTGACTCTAGTCGTCCCAAGGCTGCCGAGGTGACTTTTGAGCCATGTGTTTTTGTTGCATCGATAATTATATATCAATACCATATTGACTTGTTTGTCTTCTTATCTTTCTGCCTATAATTGTTCTCTCCTTTCCGAATCCCCATATAACTTTGGGGACCATCAGGCTACTATGTCGCAATTCCAATTTGCTATTTCAAGTTCCTGATCATGAAAAATCAGACTATATTTTAATACTTTTCTTTAATAAGATATTAGTGATTTCCTAACATCTGATTATCAGATCATTGATTGCAAATGGAGATGTTCTTGTTGTTTGACATTGAAGTAAATTTATAAATTGCTTACATATCCATATCAAGAAGGCCTTTTGATTGGAGTATTCCACCAATTTGTTTCTTGCCTTTAAAACCCAAAAAAGCAGAACCATTCATTAGGTTTTTAAGATATATTAAGAGGCAAAAATGACGTAATCAAGTTCAGAAGTGCTAGTAATCATTTTATTTCTTTTGTTTCTCCAGAAGGAATCGATAATAATTGTGGTTGAGAAACTTCACCTTATTGTTGATCTTTAGGCCCCATTTGAGCAAGATTCTTTTGAAAAATACATTCTTACATAATGATTTGATATCATTTCAACCACACATTTTTCGATAAAATAATATTACGTGCAAATTCAAAACTTTTTCTTATTTTTAACCACACATTTCCCATCAATACACTGTTCAAAAATGCATTTTTATGAAAATAATGTGGCTCAAACAAGGGTTATAATTTCTTAGAAAGAATTCAGAAAGAGAACTTCTAGCAAGCTTCTCCAGTTGCATTTCCTTCGTTTCCTGCAGAGAGGGGTGGCTTGAGTTGAGAATTTTGTTTGCTAAAAAAATTTATGATTCTGCAGGGAAAGAAACTCCATCACCTATATGTGCATTTATCATTTACGTTTTGCATTCGAGTTTCGTGATTGATGTGATTTTGTTGCATCGGTGCAGCCAGGTTGTTGGCATGAGAGTTGGACATCTTTACAGCAGACTGGTGCCACTCGTCCTTCTCATGGACGGTAACTCTTGAGTTACTATTTTGCATTTTTCTGGTGTCGTTTAAATAAATCTGCTGACTATAGTGCTGCTTGAATTTTACTTTAAATAGGTCATGAACTAGATCCAAATCGTTTTCAACTAGTGATGGTACTGTTGACACAGATAGCAATCCCATAGACGTGACTGATCCAAGATGGGAAATCTATTTATTAGTTCGAAAGGATCAAGAAGACGGTCATTTTCGGTTGCTTGGTTTTGCATCTGTTTACCGTTTCCACTGATATCCAGATGGCAAGCGTCTGCATCTTGGTGAGGTTTGCTCCAGTCTATATGTGTGCCCAAACTTCAGAACTAGAAACTCGTAGTTATCGTCATTTTTCCTTTTAAAAGCTGAGAAAATGTGTTTGGTGTTGCCAGATATTGGTTATACCTCCTTTTCAGAGAGAGGGTTATGGTCGCCATCTTCTTGAAGTTCTCTACAATGTTGCAATATCGGATAATGTTTATGACTTAACCGTCGAAGAACCAGTGGATTCCCTTCAACATGTGCGAACCTGCATTGCGGTAGAGCGTCTGCTTTCATTCGAGCCAAACCAGCATGCACTTAATGCGGTTGTTTCAAAATTAAGTCATGAAAATCTCTCAAAGAAAAGCCAACCTATTCAATTTGGACCTCCTACTAGTGTCATTGAAGACGCGAGGAAAATTTTGAAAATCAACAAGAAACAGATTCTACAGTGTCGGGAGATTCTCATCTACCTCGGTTTAGTTCCTATCGACAAGTACATGGAGAATTACAGGATTATTGTTCCGAATCGTGTAAAAGCTGATGTCATTGGGAAAGAATCTGAATGAGCCGGGAAGCTTATAATCGATAGACCAAAAGAGTTTGATAAAAAATGTCGTTTGCAATGTTCAAATCCAACGGGGATGAAGCTACTGGCATTGAGAAGGATGAAAACTTAGAGGAGCAACTGAGGCAACTAGTGGATGTAAGGATGAAGGAAATCGAGTTAGTCACACCGAAAATCTCCATGCCACGTTCATTGAAGACTGCGTTATCTTAAAACAAGTAATGGAGCTGTATCCGTAAATTAATGAGCTGTGCCTGTTCTATCTTAATGACCTTGGAATGACATTGGACAATATTTATACAATCCCGCTACAATGATCGAAAATGGTTGACAGAGGGGGTGACTGACTCTCAAAATGGCGGGCCCACTTTTTTTTGGACCTTTTTATTCACGCGGAACCCATTACATGTGAGAGGATGTCAACCATTCTGGCAAAAAAAATTCGGGGAAAGCAGCAAAATTCATGTTTATATTTGATGACTTCACCATTTTTTGACATTTCAAACGTGTGATAAATATGTTGGGACCATCTTAGGCTGATTTGTTGCTCCAATGATCTAGCATTTGACATCGTTTGGAGGCAGAATGGTGAAACTTCTTGAAAGCACAAGTCTGTCGAGGCAAGGTTTTTTTAGGATTTTGTAACCTTCAATCCTAGTCTTAAAATTGACCAATAGGGGAAGGATTCAATCACATTCTTGCACTATTAAAATTAAATGTAATTTCAACATAAATCATGATCACAGAAAGCTTTGCCATTCAATCACATAAGATTAAAAACAAGCAACTTACCCTTTTTTTAGCATGTATGGTACGTTGACTAATAAAATTAAAGTACTTAAATTTCAATTTTCCTTCAATCTTGTCCAAAGTTACAAGTATTGGTTCGTCAGTTGTAAATATAAATATTATAACAGACAAGATAATTGACAAATTTTGTATCACCTTCTCAAATTTTTATAGTATTTTTCTTTCACTAAAAGAGTAATGCTATTTAACACCATTAGTGTTACAACACTTGTTTATGTGACATCATTAAAAGATAAGTACAATTAAGTGAATTACATAATTCTACTTTTAATAGAGTCTATCGCATAGTAATACATCGAGTGTTTTAACACCCATGATGCAAAACGTCATTATTCTGTGTGAAATATTGTCAAATAACTTTCAGTACTCTCTTTGAATAATCAACAACCCAAACATCAGGTATTTGCAAAATTAACAAATCTTCGGAATGCACTAAATCTTTTCGTCATTTTGGGTGCATCATTTAGATACGACGAAATCCAAATGATTCTGTTAAATATCTTTTGTGGCTTGACAAATAGGCAATCACTTTTCTATAACTAGCTCAATGATATTTTCAACTATGAATACCACCGCATTACTTCAATTAAGATACGATATTTACTATGAACCGTGCTACATTACCAGAGCCACATAGGCCTGGGAAATGCTGGGAGTAAAGGGGAATAACCCATTTACTATTACATTGAAGCAAAAAAAAACCAATAAGATCCTAAATCTTGTGAATGTTGTAAGCAGCATTTTAAGCTCTCCTCCAGTTCTTGAATTCAGATCTACCAAACACCACTTGTTTGATTCCAGAATAGCCGTTCATTACAAGTCGAAAGGATTATAGAAGATAACATTGAAAAAAAAGTGATAAAAAGTAGATATCTTATAAGTTCAAGGACCCACAAATTGCGTGGACACAAAACTTTGGGTCCCCCAGCTTATAAGAAAGCTACTTTTTTTTTGCCAAACACACTCAAAATCTTACTTGGAGCTTATTTGTGTCAATGCATTGATTAAAATATCCAAGAGCAATGGTTCACTAGTGCCGATATCCACCCTATCAATATGAGTCCCAATCGCATTGATTCACATATCTAGTAGAAAAAACTCGGAAACATTTTGAACCACTTGCCATATTCTGGCTAAGTTGTTATCTTGAATCTGGAGGTCCCCAATGTCATAAAATGTTGTCAGGTTAACATTTGCTACCTGAATAGCATCATAACTCGATCTTTGGTCCAACGGACATTGTGACAACTGGGAGAAACAGCGAAAAATGGTTCGAGTTTACAAATAAAAGATTTGACTTTACATTTCAGGACATAGAATATACAGGAAGATGTGAAGGGGCTTTACTTGCATATTCATAGAATTGCATCCACCGAGACTTCCAACAATGTGCCACGATCAAATTGGCTGCATACAGATTATATCAAATAAAATACTGAAATCTTCGCAATCTAGTCAACGGAACTGGATTAGTTACATTGCATATCAAAGAGATATCTTTCTTCAGAGGGGCATTATAGAACTCAAACTATATGTACTTATTTGAGAAGTCAAATCTGGTCATAAGGAAGATATATTTGTAAGATTTCCTCAGGATGTCGTGTACAGCAAAGGCAATGTGTTTTATGCACACACATGTCGCTCTTCAAAAATCAACAGAAAAAGTTAATTCTCAAAGTGCGATGCAGAATAACGAGAAACTCGACTTGACTGGAAAAGGGGAAAATGAAGATACAGAAATCGTAATGATATACACATGAAATATTTTGAGCATTATGTCATGTCTCCTACCATCCATCAGATCTGGAATTTTCTGTGAATCCTCATCTTTCTCCCTATGTTGCTTGGACTCGGGTGTGGGTGTCGGATACGGGTAAATATCTAGGAGTCAGATTTTTCTCGTTATAAAAATTAAGTATAGGGATATGGTTAAAAATGATCTGAATTTTGGATACGAGTACGGGGATACGTTTCACAAAATATTTTTTTTTTAAAAATGACATTTCAGAAAAATTAAAGGAAAAAATCAATGTCAATGTCATATATATTATTAACAAACAAATAGAGAAATAATTTTAAATTTAATATCAAAAAAAGGATATAGCACTAAATCATTTTAATTACAAAATAAACAGTTCATTTAGATAAATATAAGAAATAAAAAATAAATACAAGAATAAACTCAAATTAAATGAGTGACCATACAACTTATACAATAAAATAATTGTAATTTCATTCATTATATGCATCGGAGTTTACAAAAGCCCTTATAAAACATTCCAAAATCCGGTCCAAGCCCACTTCAATCAATTAGGGCAACCTTTCGTCTTTTTCCTTAGTCTTCTTCCCCAACTCTGTTATCATCTTTCTCCCAGGCTCGAAGTAGAATTCCAGAAGCATCTATAGATAGATACAAGGCCAGAAAACTACAACTCCATAGATGAAATTTGGTGTGGCTAGAAGCAAGACTTCACATTCCGCCGTCTTCTTCATTTTGCTGCCGTGTCCGATTTCAAAACCAAGGATCCGATCTGTATCCTGTGTCGGTATCCATGTCATGTCGTGTCAACACGGATACTCCTCCATATTTGGAGAGTCCGAGCAACATAGCTTTCTCCTTTTTATAATTTTGTTCACAAGCAAACTACGACTGTTTATAGGCTAATCACCAAACAAATCAGAGGCTCGTCTAAAGACTAAAGAATATAATGCATTTTCCCAACTAAGGATAATTAACGGGAAAGGAATGCCCTTAAACACTTCATCCTCAGAAACCACAAGGATGATAAAAACTGGGATCTGTCCTTAAAGGAGTCTATAACAGTCTTTTCACTGCGTCAATTGTAAAATAAATTATCCATACTTTCTGAACCATTCCGATGCATCACAAACCACAAAGTAGAAAGAAAGAAATAAGGATATTTCTTTTGAACCTTTTCACACGTAATAGTAGCCATTGAAACGCTACTATTCTGTGAAGAATGCAAAATAATCAGATTAGCTTAAACCAGGGTAAATATGGGATAGCTAACCAAACTGACTAGAGCACTGAAGAATAATCTGCAAGAGGATCTCGAGGGCTATAACTTCACCAACCTTTTGTCAATTTAAGAAGAAGTTAGGTAGATGTTCTCAAGAAGATTCAATTGGCAATTATAAACTCTCCCTATCCCTCAAATTTCTTAGAAACTAAAAATTTCAATTCGTTACACCATTTTCAGAAGTCAATTATCAAGTCTACAGTCTCTGAAATGAAGAAGTCATCATGCAACATAACCTTTCTCCTGGAAATGAATCCTATCCCCTTTCACACAATGCATGTGTTGGGTTTTGATATTCAATAATCCGGACGATGATTTAAAACAGTTGTCGGATTATTTATCGACACCATGGACTTGGCTCGACTCGGAAATAACCTAAACTTGTGGATGGTCCATGTAGTAGTTGGGTTATTAGATTGTGGGTTTTGGATTAATTGGTAGCCCATTTGTTTAGGTTAAGTAGAAGTCCATTTGCATAAGTCTTTGGCCCAAGTTGTGTATTTAACCTATCCTATATATATACCCATCTTCTAGCAGCCATTTTCTATGGTGGTGTGTGGGTGTGTGTTGAGAGAGGGGAAGAGGGCCGAGAGAGGCGAGGAGGCAACCGACTTGGTGGTTGGAGTGAGTCCACCATTGTTGCTTCTTCTTCTCCCTATCACCACCACCATCCCCTCTCCTTTGTGGAATTTGAGAGAGTTTGGGCAGTCCAAAGTGAAGGAGAGTTCTTGGGTCAAGCTAGGTAAACTGGTGTTCGTTTGATTGTTTTCTGAACCCGAAATCAAGATTTATCGAGAGATTTTCACTACAGCATGGAGTGAAATAGGCTTGAGAAGAGAATCTTGAGATATAAACTTCCAAGGGTTTCTGAAGGAACCTCTCACAACTCCTTCGGAATCTCAGATGTTTAGGTCCAAATAATACTCTGAACCACTAATGATGAGAATCAAGAACAAGAACAATTTAAGAAGAAGAGAGAGTAGAAAGAGAGAAATGGGAGAAAGATTGTATTCTTATTTAAAAATCAAGTGCGAGTTATTGCAATCAAAGAGCCACATTTTATAGGTTCTAAATTACTTCGAAAATGAAAATGACAACTAATAAGAAAAACTAAGTCCTTTTAAAAAAGGAGACAAACTTACTATCCTACCAAAAACAATAAAACCTAATAATGAAAATTCTATTCTTTAATTGATTTGATTTCGTTTGTGCCTAGAATATACTTTCCATTTTGCATCAACCACTCTACTCCATTAAGAAGATTGTACCACTAGAAATCACCAGACATTTTCCAACTGGCTATTTAAATTATTTGTTCCCTTTATTTGAAATAGAATGGCAAAAGATTTCCACTGGAAGGATTCTTGGTCTCTGGCTAATACTAAGCTCTGTTTGACAACCATTATTTAGGAACTATTTTTTTTCCCATACTCATTTTCAACTACACATTCACACAATAAAATATTCTGAACATAAACCCAAAACTTCTTCCTACTATTTAACCACGCATTCTTCTAAAACTCACTATTCAAAACATTGTCAAACAGGGGCCAAATGCCAATGCTACATTGATTATTCAATATAAGAATTTATATAAATACTGCCAATGAGGTCTCTAGCTCAAATATGTAGTTCTGTAGATGAACGTGTATCCACTTGAATTATTTACGTATTCCAGGAGTTCAAGAACAGAGAAAAAAAACACTAGCTTTCTTATGGACTGAAGCTGAAATAAAAAGAACAGAGCAAAAAAATTTGTATTAGATAATTTCTGTCCCAACATAAAGCAACAAGATGGCATTCCACACATAGTGAAAAAAAAAAAAAAAAAACAAGATTACCAAAATTGATATGTATAAGTAGTGATGTAGTGTGAATCAATGTGGCTTATTAAAGTACTTAGGGTTCAATATGATTCATTTGTAGTTATGGCAAAATCAGAGAACAAAAATGGATGTCATGTGGTCCAAAGTCAAATCTGAATCTCTCACACCGAATTTCCGAGAAATGATATCAAACAGACTTCAACTGAATGCTATTAGAAGTTTAATCGGATGGTTTTTCTTATGTCAACACCAATACAGTTTCAGACAAATTGAACAATTGCCAGGTGAACTCATTATCACTTCACTTCACTTCATTATTATCACACACGAATATTATAAATTTACCGACTATGCGTGGTGTGCATCTCGACTTACTTATTGAACATCACTTTCTTGGGTGTCGCTGAACCAGCTTTAGTATGCAGTATCTAGCTCCTTTTCCTTCTCAATCTCTCTTCCATCTGTCGCATCAATAGCAAACAAATGCCATCATCGAATTATGAAAAGAACAAGTGTCAAGAGTCACATAAGTGCTGCATAATTTTATTTTATTTTAAATAAGAAAGCACATCAATCTGAAATGCGGTTAGCTTTTACTGCTTAATGTTGGATTCTTCAAAACTCCATGGACGTGCAGAAGAGATGCTAGGAATAAAGATTTGTAATCTATTTCAGAAATTCCCCCTTCTATGTTTTTTACTTACCAAGGTCAACGGAGAAAGAGCTCCTGTAGGATTATAAAATGAAAAGTGTTTGTGAAAATCCTGCAAGCGTACGGGTTCGTTGTACAAGTAATAATCGTGATGAGAAAGTTATCGTCTCACAGGGAATAAGAATCAATTTCAGTATATTGGATATATTTAAATTCGAGTTTGTAATCAAAAGATGATCGAATGAATAGTTAACTAATTTTTATAACTAAAACTTGTTAAATCAATGAAAATTGGTTTAAAAATCAAATGTGCGAACGTATTGGATTTCCGACGCCACTGATCAATTCTTAGTTCTAATTCTCAACCAGTAATAATTATTTCAATTAATGCGATTGCGACGATCGATAATTCCACTAGTATTTATTATTCTTTTCCAAGATATAATAAACCTATTATTACCACGAGACGATCCTCTTCCTAGTCCGACTTCATATGACAACCATGCATTGACATTTAGGATTATCACATAAGATCGCACATGCCACAAATATTATTCCCAATATTTATTACCCGTATGTCCCAATAATAGTGTTCTACCTATCGTGAATTTTCCATCACTACGAAAAAGCAACATATTATTCTAATGGTGCGCACACATTAAAACAATCTAATTATACATATTAATGGAATCACAACGCAATAATTAACATAAAAACATAGGTCTCGAATTAAAACTAAAAAATTAAACAATTTTGTCATCCATCCAATACATGAAAAACCTTAGCCTAGCATAATGTTGGAATTAAACATATAAAAGAGGAAGGAAATCACCAAAAATTAAAGGAATGCGATTAATCCCTTTCGGCTTCTGCGTGTTTACGTGAATTTTCCCTTTTTTCGGCTCCTATATGAGTGTATATATCACTTTGCTGCCATAAGTTATATGTATCTCCAATTACCGCCGGCAACGTGTTTGTAATTCCCAGTTGGCACTCAATTTCTTTCCTCCAATGTTTTGCCAATGTTTGTGTAAATATTTGTATAGAACACGCAGCCCATTGTTTGACTCCCAAGATTCCTTTTTACTCTCCCCCAATTTTGGTGTGCTCCTGTATCTCTTCCCTCCAAGTTGGCGTGCAGTCTCTTCCCCAAAAATCTGCCTATGTTTGTATATAATCTCTAAGTAAGCAGCCGGTTAATTTATCTCACCAAAATAATTCCCAAGAATCTCCTAGCTGCTCCTTTTTAATTTCACCAAGAAGATTATTTTTTTTCCAAATTCAGCAGCTCGTATGTGTAGATGTTGACCCCCAATTTGCTGCCCAATTGTGCGTGGGATATATTTCTGAAAATCAGCTTAGGCAGCCCCTTGATTTCCTCCAGCTGCCGTTTCTCTCCAAGAAGATCTATGAATTCAGCCCTTATTTTTTTCTAGGTTTTCTCTTCTCTTCCTCCTTTTTCTTTCGATAAGTGCATGTATAATATACTTGAAATTAGCCAACCAATTTGACCAAAAAGAAACCCAAATTCGGCCCATGCAGCCCCTTTAGTTGTAACCCTATTGGAAGTCCAATTAAGTATTCAAGTTGAATTCCAAGGCATATCCAATTGAGGCCCATTAATCAATTATTTCTCTCCAAGTACTCAATCTTCAAAGCGAAGCAAATCAGTCCTTCCATTTTTATAGTTACTTTGATTCCCAAAAATTGCATCAAATGGCCAATTTAATCCACATACTTTGGATTTTGCTATTTCCGCCCTTTTTGCTTCTTTCCTTCCATTCCTTTTTATTCGTAGAGTTTCACCTATTAAACGTAAAACATAACAATTTAGAATGTATTTTGTCAAAAGACTATCAAATATCGTTATTTTAGAGTCCCGAAAAAGTGTATAAAATACACTTATCAAAAAGTTACATTAACTTGTTTAATGGTTGGGAAACTATGTGGCCAAGGACCACATAAACATTACAGGAATTCGAATCCCACAAAGTGAAAGAAAAGATGGTCAATTTGCCTTAGCTAATGCCCCCAAAAAAAGTATTCTTGTGATAAAATAATATCTTGTGCTAGGCCTGAATCTTGTAAATAATGTAGTAAAATCACATTTCCTAATCTTTACTAACGAAGCCGAACACTTCTTAATTACAAGCATGGGAGGGGGCCATGCTTAATAAAAAAATTGTGGGCTTCCCTCCCATTGTCAACTCGGTTGTACAAATAGAATAATTCAAACAATTAACTCTCTGGCTAGTTTTATTCTGTTTCTCGAAGACTTTCAAGATAGAGAGAACTTACTTTGGACTTAGCTTTGTCAGGGTCATCAAGAAAACTCCCAAGAATCTCAGCAAATTTATGGTCTCTATCATAATCCTTCTTATTCTCTTCTCTCCCTATAAACCCTTCACCTCTCAAAAACCCACTTTCATCCTCATCCTCATCCTCGTAATCACCACCATCATCGGTGTCAAAATTGCTTTAATATGCAAAGTCCTGGTTCTGGCTTTGATAACATGTGAGAATAGCTTACGCGAAAACTGGGTATAAATTTGATGTTTGGCACTTAGGAATGTAGAATAATGATTTGATTGGCTTGAAATTGGTGGGTGAGAATGAAGTACTACCTGAAGATTTGGTGCAGTGGAATGTAGGAGAGACACTGGATCTGTAAAGGGTTTGTATAGGATGGACGGCTTGTTTCAGCTAGAACTCGACAATTATGGGGGCGAGAAACCAGAGAAAATGGGAATTGGGGACTTTAAAGTTGTAGATTTCAGATTAACATCAAAATTCAAGACTTTATTGAAGAAATGCAGATTCCAAGTTCTTTTTGTTTTAACATTTCAACTTGGATTACACTTTAAAAAAAAAAAAAAGAAGAAGCCAATTCACCCAAAAATTCCTCGTGTACTCGAGTTGAAGTTTGACACTTGTAATGTGTAAAAAAAGTGACCTTTGATATGAATAAGTGGTATACAAATCAATGGTCAAATTAGTTGCGGATAAAAATCAAGATGTATATGTAGTAAGGTTATTTCAACTTTATCCTCTTTTGGGTATTTAGCCACTGTCCGGTCACAAATAAAAATCAGATTTTTAGTAAATTTTAATAAAAATTGATAAAATATATGATTAAAAATTTGTGAATTTCATGACATATATGACTAAAATTAATGAATTATTTATTAAAATTAATTCTTGATTTAAATTATAATTTTTAATTTTAATTTTTATCAAAAAAGCTCTAAATGAGAGAGACACTCCCAACTTGGGGGGAGGAGGAATCAAATTCTCAATCTCACTCAAAAGTAAGTTTGTATAATTCCATTTTACCCTTCAATATTTTGAGTTACCTTTAGGGCTGAGTTTTGGATATTTGTTATGGAGTTCTTCAAAAGTATCGATTTTGGACACTTATAAAGGGTTCAATTTTGTGTGATTTTTAACAGCGATTTTTTAAATAGTTTAATCTATATTTGAGAGTTTATTATCCAACGATTTTCAAAATTCTTAAATGAATAAAACTATATATATGCTCATGTATAAAAATAAATTTTACAACTATAAGTTAATTTATATTTATAAGTAATATTTTACACATGAGTTAATTTTTTATTTATAAATAATTTTATTCATTTTATAATTGAACTCTTGTCTTATGCGTGGTTTCTTTTTTCAACTTTATAAGTGATTTTTTAACACAAAGTGATTTTTTTTATAAGTGAATTCTAGTTATAAGTAAGTAATTTAGTTATAATTTTTTTTTTATAAGTTTGTTTTTAAGTTATTGTAATTTTTATTTAAAATAATTTCGCTACCAAATATGTGTTGGAAACTTGGAAATAATTGTTTAGAGAAGGTAAAATTGGAAGAAAAATTGAAAAACGATAAAAAAAAAATTAAAGAAAATAAAATAAAAATCATCAATTTGGTGGGTTGAGCAATATGAGCCAAATTGGGGGGACATGGGGGCATAAAATATGGATCTTATCAACTTGTTCCGATCTAGGATAGTAAACTCATGAGTTCGGTATACTTCAACCATGACGTTTATCATAAAGAGATTCATTGTTCTAGACTTTACTCCACCTTAATTGTTATTTAAACAAGTAAATTTTTTTGTCTTGGTTCGAGTGAGGATAGTATTTCTCTTATGCATGTTTAGGGACTTCTATAAATCGAAACATCTCCATAACTAGAATTTTTACGACCCTTCCAACTATGAATGTTGTTAGCTTTTCCATTCGGATCTTCACTTTTACTAGTATTTTCAATAAGATCAAAATTGTCATGAAATTTAAAGAATCTTAGGGAGCATTAGATATATTTTTTTGTGGAACTTCATCATTTGTATACTTGGTGAAATCGGGCGTATCTTAAACGAACCCTTCGCATGGACTTGATGTAATATCCCGAATTTTTTATTACTAGTCATTAGATTAAAAATTAGGACTTAAGTGCTCTATTATTAAAGTTTAATGACCTTATTAATTACTAGCCAATAGTCTGAGAGCCTAAGTGAAGAGTTAAATGAAATTATGTGTAAAATATATATATATATATATATGTAATTAGTCATGATTAGAGATTATTTTATTGACCACATACATTATTTACCACATTTTAAGTAAAGTAATTGCTTTGATCACATAAACTAAGGTAATTGATTTGACCACGTGCATTATCTAGAACAAGATTCAAATCAAGTCAATTGATTTGATTACATAATTAAAGGAATTGATTTGACAACTTTCAAGACAATGCACCATTATGTTTTGATCATGTCTAACATCTAAGCATTCCCTTTCAATTTTCTATACATGGTCCAAAAACTTGCACTATAAATAGGAGTTAAACTCAACATTAGATTATCCATCACCAATTATTTACACTATTCCTCTCTATCTCTATCGCTTTATCTCAACACCTTTACTTTTTCTCATATTTTTCCTATTAAATATAGTCATACACTTACACAATCACACAACCCCACACGCGTCTCAAAGATCTCCCTCCAACAATCACTTCTTCTGTCATTTTTGAATTGTCAAGTGAAAGGTAAATGTAGTAGTACGAATTATTCTTTCATTATTTAAATTACAAAAATTTATGTTATGAATATAATGATTCGGAAATCTGAGTCGTGATTATGATGAGGGTCCTATACGTGTAAGTTCAAAGGATCGAAGTTTAGTAGTGCTTTGCATGGGAATTATAGCCACGAAGTTCGGATTTTAATTCCCGTATCTCCATATGTTTGTTATGATTTTTCGTAAGTAAATATAAGATACAAATTCGTTATTGCTCAGTTACTGAGATTTATGTCTCACATGTATATGTTAAAAACTTTATAGGTAACCAAAAAGTGCGGGTTCGAGCGATCGGAGAGGATTGTACTTTCGAGGATGAAAATGAAGAATGATTTAAGTTTAAGTTAAAGATTTTAATGATGTTTATTGTTTTATTTATTTATTTTAATCATTTCATGTTCAAAAAATATTATATTTTCATTGTTTATGAAAGTATTATCTTTCGGTACATGTATAATGATTCCAAAGGTAAAAATTTGGATCATTACACTGCGTTCTTGTATGATATGTGGAAACTTACTTATCTTATAGCTTAGGGGTTTTGCACTACACTGATTTTGAATACCACTCAAAACAAAGCCCAAAAACTAACCAGCATTGTTTGTTCCCAAATAAATGGTGCAATAAAAAAAACGATTAAAAATCATGAAGAAACTACCAAGCACACCCTTAAAATTTTTACATATTTAAAATAATTTTATTGTACTCATTTTATCTCACTTTTAAAAGAAATATTGTTATAATTTTAGTCAAATTAGATTATTTACAATATATAGAGTAAGTTATGTAACCATTATACAAAATACAGTGTATATAAGTTAAATTTTTTAAAATGCGTACAGTATAATTACACCGCTATATACATGCTGTATTTTGTAAAAATCCCTAAAATATATTTGGGTATGTTCAACGACTAATACTAGAAGAAAAAATAGAGTTTAGAAAACAACTAGTAACAGATACAAAATAATAATTTTTGTTGGAATTCAACCTTCTTCTCTTTGAATGTGTTGGATTTAACCTCTTTTTGGTTAATTTATAATGACCTATCAATCATTTTATAAATGATTAAACTGTTATCAAATGGAGCGAAAAAAGAGAGAACAAAAGAATGAAACCTTCAAACTTGTATGTTTTATTAAAAATCAAAACCCCATATTTATAGGATATAATTAGGACTACATAGGATACAATAGTCATAATAATTATGGTTGTAAGGATGTAAAAGTCATTCATAAATACTATTATATCTAAACCACCCTCTGAATGAATATTTACATAATAACTATATCATTGAAATATTATTTGGAAAAATTAGATGAGACAAAAATGCCAACTAATGAAAAAAAAAGAGTAAAAATAATTGAAGTAATGAAATGTTGCATATTAAAATTTTGTCAAGAAAATCCAATGGATAAAAATTGATCGAATGAAAAAGAGTACAGCTACTTTTGGGAATTTACTTAAACATATGCAGCGGAAATAAAATAATTTCAATTCCCACCAAGATCATCTTTGTATTTTGATAGGAACTGTGATAAAAATTATATATTTTCTTAGATCTGCAAACTCCTTTACGTTATCTTTGTTCCAACAACTTGGATCTGCCTCTCACAGCTGTCCAATTGCTTAGCCTCCAATGAATTCCACACAGAGAACAGATTGCAGCCACCGGGATTTTCTCCTCTTGTGTTAGCAAGAATTATGATATTCTCTACAAATTGAAAAACCCTAACCATGTATTTATATAAGTCCAAACGGGCTTGACCTATTCCGATCCAATATTTAATTAATCAATTTAATTAAATTCGATCCATGAATTAATTAATCCAATTAATTAATTCGAGTCTATAAATAACCAACCCAATTAATTTATTTATTCAACAATTGTTAAATTAATTAATTGACAAGTTGCAATCTTTTAATTCTCTTTTGTGTGCGACCCATTAGGTTCCCGATCACGATATCTAACGACGTGAAATATTATTTTGATCTAATCAAAATTGATAAATTAAAACTCCCTTTTAATTTATCACCAATTCACACTCGCCGTCCCAAATTGACATCTAACAATGTATCATGGCAACACATGTGACGGGAAATGTCATGTGGTATGACAAAACCAAACTTGTTTGTTTACCATGAAACTATAATCCCTTATCAATATGATCCGATCAATTACGAGATGTGGAAGTATGTCAATCTCGATTATCGATCATGTCTTTCATTCTACTATTAAGTCAATATGAGTCGAAAACTCCTTTTCGACTTATGTGTATACCTTGGTCAATGATTTCGTTATCGACTTAATTGAACGAAATACAAATCATAATCTGTTACTATCTAAGAGTGACGAATCCTCTATCGGTCTTTTACATGGTTATTGACATATCCAAACGATGCCGTATTAGCGGTGTTTGGCAGAGCAACATCCAACACTGTCAAAGCATGACTATTCTCATATAGGGCACTATGACGACCTTAAATCAAAGGACCAATTCCACTATCGAACGCTAAAAATTTACCACTGACACTCAGATAATTATCCATGTGAAATCTCTTGGCGGGTATCCAATGTTTCGTTTTATAACAAAACATCCACGTGTTCATTTAAGTGTCACTACACTTTAACTTGTGAGATCAACTACTTACTTCACAAGTAAGAAATGTCACACGTG